CTTCAGATTGCTTTGAAACTAAAAACAAACTTCACCACTAGACTCAACATGATCGATTACCCCTATTGTGATTTATTTTAGGGTGATTGAAGGCTACCTGGCTGATTTCGGGGGTCTCAGGAAAACGCTTATAGCTCTTGAACGATACAAGCTAGAGAGCTCAGTCTTGCGTAGATCAAAAGACAACAATTTTTCACATCGAATAGTCACCTTGGAATCTAAAATTCAATGAGAAATAGTTTCCCTAGGCAGTTTGCAAAATGTTCGCCGAGCGCTCTTCGAATTGGTTGATTATTGACCAATCGAATTTGACATAGTTTTACTTCCCCCATATTGCTCTTTTGAATGCTGAAAATTGCAGATTGATAGCTGCTTCCGTTCTCGGAATATCCAAGAAACACTCGCGGTCATTCTATTTTGGCGGCGGTAGTAGTAATAAATATCTTGTCTCGAGACCAGCATCTTTAGAATTTCTTTGTAATCGTTAATGTTTTTAGACCACATTCTGAAACTCTCGAAAATTGATATTGAACTATATGAAAATTAGTCTGGTTGCTTTATGAGATGAGTAGTTAAAAAGAGCTGATTATAATCAATAATTGTCATTGACTGTTTCAATCGACTTTTGCACATCACAAATAAGTGCAACTATGATTAATTCTATCAAAGTTCGTATTTGGACACCTTGTGCAATAGTTTGGCATAAGAGGAATCAAATATATAGAGAGAACCAATTTGAACAGTTGTCAATCCTCTCCTAAATCGAATAATAGTTTGTCTTTATTTATCTGTGTGTCATATGTTCCGTTTATGTCGTTCTTTCAGTGGTGCTGTTTTTCTTTTTAATTCATTAAATAAGCAAAGAAACTTTTCATAACTAAAGTTAAGTGTACAAACATGACAAGGTGTATGAGTGTTTTTTTTTCTTGATGCATCTTAAAACGAAAAATCAAACGTTGTTTTTTTTTCAATTCGATGAAAAGTACTTATTTCTTCATTCTGCAAACGAACATAAATACATATATGATTCCTGCATTACGTTCGATCGATAAACTTCTTAATCAATTTGATGAATTATCAAAATATCATAAAAATTTTTTATCGAATTTTGATAAAAATTTTTCTGATATAGAAAATCCATTACGAGATATAGCTCGTTCCGAAGAAGAACAACAAAGAACAACTTCAAAGATTTTATTAGTACTTAATGAAAATGATAATCAAATAGAATCTATTAAAACAATAGAAGATTTTCATCGAACTATTAATAAAAATCGATATCTTCATCGACCACCAATTTATTCTTCAAATGATAATTCATTATGTAATTATATTCCATCAAGAACGTCATCAATAATCACTGAATCGACTTCATTTTCACAAACATTACCAACAAATATTAAAACAATAACTCCTCAATTAATTGTACCAACATCAAATAAAATTATCAATGAAACAAAAGTTCATTTACAAACAAAAATTAAATCAAAAATTGTACAACTAAATTCATCTAGTCCACAACAATATACACATAATAAAGTTACAACATTTAGTATGGAAACTGTTAATCGTCTTTCAAAACCGAAAACATATCATCAATTAACAGATGAAAAATCAACAATAAAACATGTTGAACGACGATCAAAATCTTATGAAAATATTAAACAAGAAAAATTTGAATGTTCTACATCAATATCTGTTTCACTACCACCTATTAAACGAATAAAAACAACAAACATTAAACCAACTTCTAAAAGACTTGCAGCAGAAAATAATATTCTAATACAAATACAAAAACGAGCACTTATTAATAATTCTTCTCATCCACTTGCTTTTGTTAATCCAGTATCAACTATAAATCTTTCATTGCCAAACAATTTACAACAACAAAAATCACCTCGTTTTGCCATTTTACCTCGAATTGTTACTACTAACAAAAGGTCAATGATACATTTGAAAGCATAAACACAAAAAAATAAATATACTTTTGTTTTGTACAATTATTCGTACTTCAAAAAAAAAAAAAAATTTAAACAAATTATTAATCATTTTCAGCATTAGAAATTCTTGAAAATTCTATTTATATTATTTTTTGCTACTTATAAATATTTTATCTATTTCATTACTCAATATATTCTATATTAATCTTTATTTAATAAACACATGATTCTATTGTAGTCTACTTCTTTAAAAAAAAGAACCTTTAAATAAATGTTTATCTTTAGTCATTCAATATAAAATATCTTGTCGTTGATAAAATATTTCTCTAATTTTTTTAAAAGATGAAATTTATTTTGTGCCCTACAAACTCTTCATGATAAGAAATTAGATATAATTAAAAAAATGGTTTCGTATTTCTAATAAATTGAAAATTAAGAACAAAATTATATGATCGAAATAATATTAACAATAGGATAGAATTTCTTTAAACAACATTTTTCATTGCCTGAAAGAAATAATATGAACATAACCTTTATAAGATGTATTTGCTTTTCTTTTTTTTTTCTGCATTCTCTTACTTTCGTTGCCTGATGGTCACGACAACACCCGAATATAAAAAACGCCTTATAAGGTGTATTGACTAAGTAATAAATTTTATATTTATTTTCAAAAAAAGAATATTTAAACCAAATTATCTAAGTTGGTATTTATTTCGAATATCATTTCGTGTTTGTTGATTAGCTGCGAACGTATCACGTAGTTGATCTTGACTAGCTTGACGTTCTTGTTCGATTGCTTCTTCATCTCGAGCTATTTGTCGATGAATTAATCGTCGACGTGCACTAATACATGCCGGTTTACAAGCACAACAATACATACAACATATTAAAAGAACAACACCAACAATTACGAATACAATTAATAAAATAAGGCTTTGTGTATCAAGAACCATGATTTATTCGAATAAATGTGTGCGTATGTCGTAGTAAAAATGCAGCAGATGGTTGCTGATGTTGTTTTTCTGTTTCTTTTCATATTTTGTTTTTGATGACTCATCAACTATTCGTCAGATAGTTACCTCTTTTAGTCATTCTTTTTCTTTAGTTTTCATATTAAGATTTTGTATGATCAATGTTAGCAATGTCTTAAGTTTTTTATTTTTTTCTTCTAATAAATATGTAAGTATGAGTTCTATCAATTGATGTATGATATTTTTTGACAAAATAATTATTAGTATTTTGAAAAAATAAATTTCTAAACATTTCATTTATGCAAGAATTTACAAATTAATATATTTTATTCAAGGTTATAATTGTGAAACTTTTTATTAAATTTTATCACAAATAATAAAAATCGGTGAGTAAATCGAAACAGGAGAAACAAAAATTACCATTGAAAATAAAAGTTTAATTTGAGTCAACTTCGAATAAATATTAATGATATTGAAAATACGAAATCATGTCTAAAATTTTATTATACAAATGTTACACAACAGAGTTTTCAATACAAAAAGAATATCAACTATATTCAAAACAATTTGTTAAAGATTCACGACAATCATTTATTCTATAATTTTATTTGAATGATACTCTCAATGGTTAGTAGTTTCAAGTTAATCCTTTCGATAAAAAAATATGCTAACAGACTTCTTGTTGTTAGCGTCAGCGCATATGGAATTTAGTACACTAAAATAAAAGTTGTTAATATTAAAAACTTGAAGAGTTATATGAATCTCACATAATATATCTGTGTGGAATTGTAGTTATAAACTATTGTTAAAAGAGCTAGTTCGTTAATTGGCATATATATGAAACAGGTAAAGATTGTTCTCTAGTTAAATCAAGAATTTCAACCGAGCCAGTCATCTGATTCGGCCACAAAAAAAAACATGTCCCGACTCTAAATATGGATTAATATTATTGAATAATTTATTATCTATTAGTCGAAATTTAGATGTTTATTTTAATTTCATTTAGTATCAAATTTTAATTTGATATTATAAATATTGACTAATTGATTTTATCGATGCTATTTACTTTGTTTGATTACATTATTTATTAGGAAAACTCAAAACAAAAAATATTTTTATTCATACATATTGTTTTCAAATTGATGACATTAAATAAATCAATAGGGTGTGGATGTAAGTTTAGAGACGATTCAAATCATGGAATCCGCACCCTCAAAAAAACTTTTGAAATGGATCAGTTTCTATTAAAAAAAGTTGAGACAATTCTTAAGATTGGAACTGTTGAACTGTCATAAATCTAATCTGAATCTTCAATTGTATAAAAACAATATCAAAGTTATTACAACAAACAAAAAGGAAATGTTGTAAATAATGCTGTGCTTCGTTCTTTATCTTCGAAACTAGAAATCACTCATTCGTTTTAAATTTTGATATACCAAATTTTTGAAATTTCCAACAAATTGAAAAATTACTTAGGGTATACCAAAAGTTCTGATCACAGTTTTTAAAATTTAATAAAGCAATAAATATTGAATATTTTACTAAGGCAATATATAGTATAACGTC